TGTTCCCCCGGGAAAATTTCGAAAACTAGACTATCTGAAACCCTGCTTCCTGCATTTTGGGGAGCAAATTTTGATGGTAAACTTAGGTATATTTCTCTTACAAATATAGATGAGTGTTTCACCGTATTTTTCGTTGGGGCGACCGCCCCACTGCCCCCACGGTGCCACCGCCACTGCCCCCACGGTGCCGCCCCACTGCCCCCACGGTACCGCCCCCACTGCCCCCACGGTACCGCCGCCACTGGGTACAACGATACTTAACATGTCAAAACTGTAACATACTTTAAGTGATATATTGTGTTCGTCACAGACACCTGAGTAAAAAATCAATTCAAAACATTGGAAATAATATGTGAACAATCAATTGTATTTGTTAATGCACACAGCTTTGGTAATGTTTAAAGGTGAACAAGTTGTTAGTTTTTTGGTAATTTTACTACATGTATTTATAAACTGGCTAAACGTCATCCTGATGGTGATCAGACTCTATCTCAATATTATCAGAATCATCACTTTCCGTATTATTTTTGGGGGTTTCACGAGCACCAAGGATTTTTCATTTTTCAAGAAGTTTTATTTTTTTTACTATCACATTCTAGAAAATCAATTTACAGAAGGTACTTTAATGATTCGTTGTTTCATCACCATAGAAAAATTCATTTTTCTCCTGTGGATCTAGTTGCATTTTATAAATGAACTTAGAAAACCATTTTTTTCTAAAAAATTTGAGACTTAAGATTTTATACAGACAAATTTGCTGATTTATATTTCCAAATTTTGATAAGCTATGTGTATGGATCACAGTTCTGTCCATACATGGAAGCATATTACAGGCAAGCTCACATAGTTTTCTACTCCTTTGTAATTATGATCAAATTTAATCCGGTATTTACATGAACTTTTTGTAAATGTAAAAATAAATTGTTTTTTCAACCAACACGACACCCTCTGTCATCATCCCAATACGCCCCCGGAATATGCCGACCCTTCTACTTGGGGGGGGGGGGTCTCTCCTTTTCCCACAAAAGCATTAGAAAAAAGCGCCCGCTCTCGTCTAATTTTAGAAACAATTTTGGTATTTCTGACTGTGTTACTATTAACTAGCTTGAGGAGTCCTATCTTAGAAGGAAGCCTTTTCTAACTGTGAATGATAAAATGGAGTATTTAAATCACGAAGAAGCAGAAAAAGGTAGAATACGATAATAAGATTTTAAGTTTCAAGTTATGAAAGTTGCGTAGATGTTCGTAATTTTGACTGAAGTTCTTCTTATCACTATGGTCCGACTG